TTCTACCACGCATTATTAAATTTTCAAAATATTTATTTAAAATATTTAAGTACATTTCATTTTTTGAACTATTAAAAAGATGAGAGAAAAATTGTCTTTTTCTTTTCTTTTTCTTTTCTTGCTATCTTTACTCTCTTAAATTCAAATTGAATTAAATTTGCCTAATTTTAACAAATCTCAAAAATATCAACATATTTAAGGAGAGAGAAAAGAAGGAAAAAAAAAAAAAAACAAGCAATAACGATATGATAAATTGTTTAGATGGAAAAAAAAGATGAAAATATTATAACATTTTGTTTAAATTAAATTTCACCTTATTACACTAACAAATTCTTTCATTTACTAATCATTTGATGCATGCAACAACCATTCTCTCTATGAACTATAAAATAATTTCTTGGTAATTTAATTTGAAAGAAATAAACTTACTAAGTAAAAATGTCTCCTTGTCTTTTCTTGATTTAAATTAGCTTCTTCTCCCTCGACTTGGCTTCTATTACCCGAGCTTTATTAGGCCAATTCATAATGCAAATTTAACTTCTGTCAGAAATTTTGCAAACATAGCCCAATTTTTTTCCATATTTTTTTTATTTCTCTAATAAATTTTTCTCGTTTCCTTTTTTTTTTCTTTTTTCTCTCCTTTAAATAACTTTATATTATAGAATTTCATATTTCCTCATTTTGAAAACTAATTTCAAATTTCATTTTCTTTTATCACTTCCGTACTTCCTTTTCAGCCTTAGCATTTGGTATGGTATCAAAAATTTCACTCATTCCAATTTATCACATTGATTGTAATTTTGTCGCATCATTAGCTATTTCATAGTGGTCAAAATTTCCGCCACTACAAATCAATCAACGATATGTATGTACATATCTGTTGATATTAATAGTTGTTTTGATGGAAGTTTCTTTTTTTCCTTCCAACTGTTTAAAATAACAAGTTCAACTTCCTTCCGCTTCCCATCCACCAGAAGGGAAATAAATGAAAAGCGAAAATATGATTGTTACAAAATATTTTGAATGCTTTTTTTTTTTTTTTTGCTAAAATATTGGAATAATTTTGATAAATTCTAACTAAATTAGAACGATGAAGAGAAATGAAGTAAAATAAAAAGAAAAAACAATTTTCAACGACAAAAATTGTTTTTTTTTTTTTTTCAATATAATGGAAATAAGCTTCTCATGTTAAATTTCTCATATATTCATTCATTCATTCATTTATTCATTCATTCATCCATTCATTCATTCATTTCATTTCATTTCATCTATTTATTCATTCATTCATTCATTCTCCATGAAATGAATGAGAATAATTTGATTTGAACCGTTGGAAAGTTTGGGTAAAACAATAACATTTAATGATATTTAATAGCATTTTCGATTTTTCAATTCGATCTTTTCTTTAAGCATTTCAATTCGTCTCCTTAAATTAGTTTCTTTTCTCTTTGCCATTTCTATCTGTTAATTTCGAAGGAAGTCGAGAGAGAGAGAGAGAGAAAGAAGGGGAAAGAGGGAGAGAGAGAGGAAGAGAGAGATTATGGAATAAGATAAATAAACAAATAACTAGATTTAAGTAAAACAGGTCAAAATAAACAATAAATTATCAAATTAAAATGAAAGCAAAATAAGAAATAAGCAAATAAATAATCGCAACATTATTATTATTATTATTATTATTATTATTATTATTATTATTATT